CTATGTTGAAAACAAATATTCATAAACTGATTTCTTAATGGTTTGCTAATCAATTTCCTTAAATCTTGTTCAATATTCTTACTACAATGAGGAAATCTATTTTTCATATCTACCAATATTTGGTGAATTTGGTCAATTGCTTCTTGCTTAAATTCAGCTTCTTGTTCACTTACTTCTCCTAGATTTTTTAATTCAGTAATTTCTTGTTCTTTATTGGATAATTGCTTTTTCAATGTTTCAATTTTGTTGATTAGTTCTTTATTTGCTTGTTGTTGTTGTTCTTTTAAGATGTTTGTCATGATTTTCTTGATTGTTCCTTTTTTATTTATTCTTTTAATATACTTATATCCTTAGGGTATGTTAAGTATATAATTATTTTAGTACTTTTTTACTTTAAATGTGGAAAAAAGCTAACAATATTTATCAAAAGATTAAACTTATTAAACTTAATGACAGTAAGAAGTCATAGAGGTGATTTTATTCTAAATATTCTATTCATTGCCAGTATATATTGGTCTTGGGCAAGTAATATCTTTGTATTCATCTTTCACAAATGGATGAATATTCTGGTAAAGATATCTTGTCTTTTGTAATCCAAATGGATAAAGCTCTAATTTCTTCAAAAATGTCTGCTTTCTTAGATTTCAATAAATTGAATTCAGTAAAAGGTCCATTACCTTTCCCCTCACTGAATTCTACCAACGCACCCTGCAACTTCACCACCTGCTCCCACCTCTCATCTTTGTCCTTCACCAGTCTTTTTTTTCCTTCCTTCAGCTCATCTATCCATCCTTCCCACCTTTCCTTATGCTCTTTGTTCCTGTATTTTTCATCATCCAACTTTTCTTCCAACCTCACTAATCTTTTTTGTTTATTCTCCCCTTATTCGAACTTCTCCAACTTCTCCACTGCCTTCCTATAATCTCCTCTTGCTTATTCTAATTCATCTTTGATGTCTTTATATGTTTCCATCTTTAAATTTAAAAAACATATCCTTGAATGTAGTAGAATTTTTTGTTCAAAAATTCAAACAACGTTTTTTTACTGATAACAATGCAATATGATGTTCATTAATTACATTTTGCATAAAGGAGAATTTTCTTTGTAGTAATAGTCAGTAAAAAAATAAATCAATATTGTAATAATAAAATTATTTTCCTTCTAGGGATTTCTGCTTTTTGTTGGGTAATAGCACACTTTCATTTTGTTTTCTTTTTCTAACATTTATTATTTTTCTTCTTGGTAAATTTCATAAGTAATCCTTTCTTAGATAAGTTTCCAGTGTCTGAGTATCATTTATTTTGAAAATATAAGGTGCAATCTTTTCCCCTTGTTCCTTTTTTAAAATACTTCTGATAGTACTGTAATTCTTAGGTTCCATAGTAGACCTAATGTAAATTAGCTTCATATTAACTATTTTTATATAGGGGTAATTCTATATATTGCGAGTGCAATCCAAGTTTCCTAATTAATAGGTTATTTAATGCTCAACACACAGCCTACCCACTGACTTATGGTTGATTCAATTGTTTGACACACAACCTACTTGCTGACTTACAGTCAAGTTTCCTTTATTTATATATGACACACAGCCTTACAGTCAATGATTAATAAAAATGACTTTTATCTCCCTGGATAAAAGGGTCCCTAGGTTCAATGTAAATACTTATATCCCAAAGGCATTCCCTTGAGATGTATCTCAATAATTAAAAGAGCTCCCAACTAATAATTAAGGTTAACCAGACCTAAGGTTGCTTGCCGAAACTAGGGAGTTTCGGCAGAATGGCGTATGCGAAACTGCCGAAATAGTTTCGGCAAATTGTTCTGAAACGCCGAAATGCCGAAAGTGCCGAAAGTGCCGAAATGCCGAAAGTGCCGAAAGTGCCGAAAGTGCCGAAAGTGCCGAAATGCTGAAAGTGCCTATAGCTGATTTTTATAATTGCTAGTAATATTTTAATATAGTTTCGCCATATTTTATTAACCTAGAGGTTGGACATCGACTATCTTAGTTAACTAACTAATAGTATAATCGACTAAATTTTTTTGATCAACTAATATTAATATATATTAATATTCAAATAAACGATCAATTAAATCAACTAAATGATCGACTATGTTTGGAGTTTATATTCGTAATACAAATTCTTATTCAAATTATTCATAATACTAATACTAATACTAATACTAATTCGAATAATTCGTTTTCATTTGAACCATTCGTTTTCATTCAAACCATTCGTTTTCATTCAAATAATAATAGTTCGTTTTCATTCGAATAATAATAGTTCGTTTTCATTCGAACCATTCGTTTTCATTCGAATAATAATAATTTATTTTCATTCGAACCATTCCTTTTCATTTGAATAATAATAGTTTGTTTTCATTCAAACCATTCGTACCATTCATTTTTATTCAAAAAATTTATTTTCATTCGAACCATTTGTTTTCATTCGAACCATTTGTTTTCATTTGAATCATTCGTTTATTCAAATAAAACCCTAAAATTTTATTCATAACCTGTGTAACACTTAAAATTTTAACTAATTCAAATTTAAACTTTTATGGTGTAACAAATCTAAGCCACCACAACCAATCATGTCGTGATAATTCATGATAATCTTTATTATTATCGATATCAATCAATCTTTATTTGAATTATGTTTACTATACTTTGACCTTTACTTCTTTA